AGACCGTAAAAGCCACTCACCCTCACCACGGTCACACATGCTCCCCGCCTTCCTATGAAGAAACACAGATGGCTGGTGGCACGCTTTCCATGTCCCCAGACTTACATTTCACTCATTTCTCAGCTGCTCAGCACTCCCTGACATCCACACCCTCACCCTGACCCCATGGGGGCCTCCCAGCGGCCCTGGCTCAGCTGAAATACTGCCCGTGGGGCTGGAAGGCCTCAAGCAAGTCTGAGCCTCAGTGTCTTCACCAGCCTCTTGACCTGACCCTTGTAGACCACAGCACTGTTTCTATTTGCATTTAAAGATGTCTTACTTATTCATCACTAATTTACTCACTGAATTTCTGTGCTCATGCAGGAGTCCAAGAAATCTAACCATCACTACTAGTAAAGCCTTAAGAAAATTCTTTATTCACATCAACTCCTAGCAAGTGTCCTTTTTAGTTTTCAGGTGTCCTTTTTATTTTTATTTTTTTCAGGTGGCCTTGAATGCAGAGGCAATCACTAAGGCTTGCTCCCTCCAGCGCCTTCTCAAACCCCCTGTCCAGTAACTGATCTGGTGCTGACACTGCCCGCTGCCACCCGGACACTCCCAGGCTCGGGCTGACCCCCAGGCATCAGTCTGAGGGGTTCTCCTACCAGGTGAGGCAGCAATCACCTTGCTCCAAACCTTCCTGGAAGCTCCATGGCTGCCTGCCCTCCCAGAACAAAACCCGAGACCGGCCCGGTACCTCCTCCCTCTACTCCTGTCACCTCTCAGCCAGCCACGCCCTCCCCCACTGCACCTTGGACCCAGGCCCAGGCCCCAGATGGCCTCCCCAGCAGCTCACTCACTGCATCCAGGCCTCTGCTCAAACCTCAAATGTCACGTTATCAGAGCCATCTCTGTCTAACCTGGCACCCATCCTCCGCCCTTCCTGGTTTACTTTCCTCTTAGCACTGAGCACATTTCTGTTTGCTGTCCACCTCCTGCCACCACTGCCCTGCACCCTGAGAGTAGGAACGCCGTGTTGACTGCTGTGTCCCCAGCACCCAGGTGTTCATGCCTCGGTCCTGTTCCTGTATCAGTTTGCCAGGCCTGCTGTAACAAAGCACCACACAGCACACACAGCAACAGAAATGCGCCTGCACAGCCTGCAGGCCCGAAGTCCAAGATCCCGGGGTGGGCAGGGCTGGCTCCTCCTGAGGCTGCGGGAGGCCCTGCTCCAGGGGCCTCTCTCACTCTGGAGTCAGCTGACAATCTCTGGTTCCTCGGCTCATCGTTGCATCACCCAGCCTCTGCCCTCATCCTCACATGGTGCCTTCCCCACATGCTGTCTGAGTCCAGATTTCCCCTTTTTACAAGGACACCAATCACACTGGATCAGGACCCACCCTAAATGACTTCATTTTCACTCGATGTCCTCTGTAAAGACCCCATCTCCAAATGAGGCCACCTTCTGAGGTACTGGGCGTTAGGACCTCAATTTTTTTTTTTTTGAGGATATAATTCAACCCATAAAAATCACAGCCACATGACATTGGGCACGTGAATTTTCACCAGTAAAACAGGGCTAATAATTGCAGCCACCTCGCTGGGATGATGAAGACAGTGCCCCTCACACAAAGAGGTGAACCCTGTCCCTTCTGTGAGCCTCGCAGGCACAGGCATGAAAGAAGCTCAGGCGCTGGGCTCTGCAGCCAGGCAGCCAGGGTCTGAGTCCTCCCTCTGCCACTTGCTGCCCATGACTTTCACAAGTTGCTTAGACTGAGACCAATGTCAAGACAGGCTGTGAGGGTTACACAGTAACGCATGGCAGGTCCTCAGCACACGGTACGCTCTCTAGGAGTGTTGTCTGTCACAGGCAGGGCTGAGGTAGGGACAGTGTCACCCTCATCCCACCGATATCTTGTAAGTTTTTCACGGGGCTGTTCCCACTCACTGCCTAATCACAGCAGCAGGACAGGAAGCTCCAGCAAAGAGGACACAGTAGTGGGATTAGAGAACTGGGTACCAACCAGGACAAAAACTGGTATTTTTAAACTTTTATCCAATACGACTCACATCCAACTGCCTTCACACATCTACCTGATGACACTAACCCATCCCAAAGTGACCCCGCCTCCCTGCCCACCCACGGAGCCAGCTCCTCCGCTCTCCCCACCCCATCCTTGCCTCACGTCCTCACGTCTCCTCAAGCTGAAGACCCGGGAGAAAGCCTGGGAGTCGCACTTGGCTCCTCTTTTTCTTACACCCCACATCTTATCCACAAGGAGTCCTGTTAGCTATTCCCACGAAGTCTGTTTGGAATCCACACCTGCCCCACAGCACCACCTCCTTACAGGAACAGCTCTGCGGTGTCCCTATCTCTGCCTCCCCGACCCCTCCCATCTCCTGACCCATCCTGTTTCCTGCCCCAGAGAGCAGCTGGAAGTGCTTCCAGCAAACCAGGCGGGAAGCCAGGCCATGCCCTCTGCTCAGCTCCCAGGGCTCCCTGAGGACTCGGTGGCCACTGTCAGGCTCGCTTTAAAGGACCTACAAGACCAGGAGCCCTCCCAACCCCTTGCCACTGTGGCCTCATCTCCTATGCTCTCCCCATCCCTCGCTTGCTCCGTGGCCTCACTGGCCTCAGACATGGCACAGCCTCGGAACTTGGTCAAATGGCACCTTCTCGGCAAGGCCTTCCTCGATGAACCCATTTAATATTGTGCCATCCCCCCAACACTTACTGTCTCCTCCCTCCTTACCGTTCCCACAATACTCATCCAGCTAAGATCCCAGGTATTTTGTTTATCGCCCAGCTTCCCCTTTGTTCTCTGCTGTACCCTGATACCTAGAACAGTACTGGCATGTTGTAGGCGCTCAAATACCTATTGAATGATGAATGGCCAATGCTTGAAAAGCTCCTTAAAGAAAGGTTGTAACAGCCCTAACCGGTTTGGCTCAGTGGATAGAGCATCGGCCTGTGGACTGAAGGGTCCCGGGTTCAATTCCGGTCAAGGGCATGTACCTTGGTTGCGGGCAAATCCCCAGTAGGGGGTGTGCAGGAGGCAGCTGATCGATGTTTCTCTTTCATCGATGTTTCTAACTATCCCTCTCCCTTCCTCTCTGTAAAAAATCAATAAAATATATTTTTAAAAAAAGAAAGGTTGTAACTGTACTTGATAACCTGCATTTAAATTCCACTCCTAGGTATATGCCCTAAAGAAGGGAGGACAGGTGCTCAAACAAAATTTGTACACAAATGTTCATCGCAGCACTAAATAGCCCCAAGGTGGAAACCTAAAGGTCACCAACGGATGAATGGATACACAAAATGTGGTCTATCCTTACTATGGAATATTATTTGGTCATGAAAAGGAATACAATACTGATACATCTCACAACTTGGATGAACCCTGAACACATGCTAACTGCAAGAAGCCAGACACAAAAGGCCACCTATTGTCTCATTCCGTCTCTCCATGTCCATAGACACAGAAAGCATCTCAGTGGGGCGGGGGCGGGGCAGGGCTGGGAAGGATTTCAGCTGGGGATGGTGGAAATGTTCTGGAACTAGACAGTGGTGATTCACCACATCGTGAATGTACTGAAATCCCTTTAACAATACAGTCTAAAATGGTTAATGGTAAATTTTATGTTAGGTGATTTTTACCTCAACATAAAAATAATGAACACACACCCTCCAAAAATAAGTATGCTATCTTTAGATTGCAAGAGAGTCTAGAACTGAAACGTCAAAACATCTGGAAGAACCTGCATACAACTAAATCCTACCCCAGCGCCTCTCCCTTCCCCTGACAGAGGAAGCCACCTTCAGGCACGACAGCGAGTGTGGTGTCAGCCTGGGAATTCCTGAGCCAGAGCTCTAAATCCGACTCCTAGGCTCTTACTTGCTCTTTTCTGACATCTGTGCATCCAGCCAGTGCCCAGCCGTGACGACCACAGGTTGTAAATATACTTTGCAGGACAAACATAGCTTCCGGGCACAACCTGTGATCACTGCCTATCTGCGCATGCCCGATGGCCTGGGGAGTGCGGGGAGCTGCTTTCTGGCAGCCGGGTGGACTGGGCCAGGCACTGCACCAGGGTCAGCCTGCTGGCATCCCTCACCCCGCCCTATACCTTGAAGAGGTAGATGGAGAAATCCTTTCTCTTGAGTGAGGTTTGTCAGAGTCCCCTGTGTCTGCGACCTGGGGACTGGAGAGCTGCAGAGTAGGGAGGGGCACCCCCAACTCCCACATAGCACTGGGCTCAAAAGGCAGGTATCCCAGCCAGGAGTTCCGGCCCCACAGCCACGGAGCCCAGATATCCTCTACCTACGGTCACACGGTCCTCTGAGCGCTTGGCCATTACTGTGCCATCCTCCTGAGCAGCATGGGAAAATACAACGGTCCCATCACAGCACACAAGGTCAAGCCCGCACGTGACCAGTTTGGGTCTTCCTAGGCCTGACCTCTTCTCCTCGTCCAAACACACACACAATTTCCGGGTAGATTTCATCCTTTACTCTTCCAGGGGTTACCAATCAGCAGAAAAATGGTCAAGAGTAAACCAAAGCCTGACTGGTGTGGCTCAGTGGTTGAGTGTTGACCTATGAACCAGGAGGTCACGGTTCGATTCCCAGTCAGGGCACATGCCCAAGTTGTGGGCTTGGTCCCCAATGGGGGGCATGCACGAGGCAGCCATTCTCTGTCATCATTGATGTTCCTATCTCTTGCCCTCTCCCTTCCTCTATGAAATCAAGAAAAATATTTATTTAAAAGTAAACCTAAGAAGAAAAAGCCATATCAATCCTAAGCAGTACAAAGAGAACAATCCATCTTTGAGTAATTGATTGGGCAATTTCATTGTCTACTAATGTCCACACTAATGCTATGCTCAGGGAAAAAGCTGGAAGGAGGGATGTGCACTGATTGGTTAACAGTGGTGTAAGAGTAAGGCAGTCCCTTAGAAAAGTAAAAGGACAGCAGTGTCCCGCCTCCACGCAATCCAAACGTGCTCCGCCCACATACCTTGTTGAGCTTGCCCAGTGAAGAGATGAGATCCGCCCATTCACTGGAGGACTCAAAATTTCTTAAAGCCTTTTCAATCCCTGAAGAGTAATTTTTGTATCGGTAGTCATGTAATAGTTCCTGCTCTTCTGGATCCATCTTACATTCTCACAGCAGAGAAAGTATCTAAAAGCGAATCAAAAATAAACAAATGAGGCAGCTATTCAAGGACACACATCGCACCTAGCCCAGAGCTACCGAGGACAGATGTCCGTCCACAAACTCCCGGGGTAGGTGATCCAATTCAAATATTTAGCAAGGCTTCTGGGCCAGGCACTATGGTAGATAAAAGATAAACAGTTCCGGCCTCCTGGATTCTGAGCGGGACAAAGGGACGGAGCAGGCAGAAGCAAAATGCCAGGGTTTTACTTCATTGACAAAATAATTCTAGGACGGAAACTTACAAATCGGATGATACATATTGTTCCCGATGGGTAACTGTGAATGCAGATGGCCCCTCCGATTGTAGGGCGTTTATAAAACCTGAGGAAACAAGCTTTTTGGCAGTCCAACCCTCTACAACTAGACTAGGACAGAGAATTGGAAATATTCTCGAAGAAAATCTGGTGGGAAAAATGTTAAAAAAACATGAGATGTAAGAGTGTAGCGTCTGACAGCCTGTCCAGTTACTAAGCTCCAATCACCCACCAGGTGCTGCCCTGACAGCTTTAGGCCAGAGTGTAGAGTCTGGATGTAGGGTGGTTACACCAGGGCCCAAGCAACCCTCATTTTATTCTTCTTGCCCTTGAATATTCCTGTGGTTAGAGACATTCATTATATATGAACCCCTGCAGCTATTACAAAGCCCAAGATGTAGCCGATCTATTCCCAACTCCAACAGCATCCACTTCCCTTTATTTTTATCCCCACTGTGACGAAGGGAAACAAAGAACAGGGAATGCTGCACTGACCTGACTTTGTGTAAGCACCCCTCATTTATACGATGTAAAGTACACAATACACATACGTGCTTATGTCATTCTGTTCTTACTCATTTAAAGATCTGATAGCATGTACTGCTGATCTATGAAGTGTTCTATGTTTACGACTTCAGGGGCTCATAGGTATGAAAGGACACCCTCCCTCCCGTGTCCCCCACCAGGTCCAACCCCAGGGCCAGGGCAGCTCTGTGCATTTGTCTGTTCTGTAGGCTTACACATCCAGAAGCCTGTAAGGTTCCAGGCTGCCTTCAATATGTACATTTTGAAATAAAAATATTTCCTATTAAAAATATCTGAAAGTCAACCCATCAGTCTATTCAAACAAATTAGAACTCTGGGAAGTACTCAACAAGATATGGAAAGGTTGGCATTCCTGGCACCAAGCCTTGGGTCCTCTTTCTTTCTCTCTTTATCTTCAGTGATCTCCCCATTCCTATAACTTACAAATATGATCTTCATGCCAATGACCCCTGGATTTATAACACCTGCCCAAACCTCCCCTCAGATGTCCTGACTCATGTAAATGTCCACTGGACCCCTCCACCTGGAAGTAGCACAGGTGTCTCCAACTTAGTGCATCCCAAACCAGACTCTCAAGCGTCCCTCAGCAAAATGTGGCCTCGCTGCCTTCATTTACTGGCCCCGGTGAAGGGCCATATCTCCGAATGGGCAATGAGAAGGAACAAAGTACTGGCACGGGCTGCAGGGAGGATGAACTTGGGAAATACTCGCTTAGGGGAAGAAGCCGGTCACAAAAGGCCACGTATGATTCCATTGGTGTTAAATGCCCAGAATAGCTGAATCTATACAGTCGGCAAGTAGATTGGTGGTTGCCGAGGGTGGGGAGAAGGAACAGGGAGTAACTGCAAATAGGCACCAGGGATCTTTTTAGGGAAGTGGAAATGTGCTAAAATTGGATTATGACGATGGCTGCACAACTTTGCAAATTTACTAAAAAATCCCTGAATTGTATACTCGAATGAATGTTATGCTATACCTCAATAAGGCTGTTTTCTAAAAACTTGATTCTATCTGCTCAGCATGCTCCTTCCTCAGAAAGTGGCTCCCCATCCACGGATCCTTTGACATCATTCCCGACTCTTCCTTCTCTTCACCTGCCACACTCAACGCCCGTCCAGTTGGCTCTTCTCCCCAAACACCTGTGGACTCGCTCTCTTTCTATTGCACCTCTGTGCACGCACCTCTCTCTTGCAAGCCTGCAGAGGCCTCTGAATGCTTCCCCTTCACTCTGGCCCCCTCCAATGCACTTTCACACAGGGCTCCAAGAATCCTCTTCACGTGAATTAAAACACGTCCCCAACACATTTAAACTCTCCCCATTAAACTTACAATAAATCCGAACTCCTCCCCACTAACCGTGTGGCCTACAAGGTTCCACCTACCTCTCTCTTCAAGGCACTCTGCTTATCCTAAGACTGACTCGCACAGGGGTCCTTGAAGTCCACAGGTATGGGCGGCTAGTTAGCAGGAAGAGAGCCTTGTCAGCGATCAGGTGTGTGCTCAGGGCAATGAGGGTGTCGGCCAGGTAAGAGCAGGTAACTGGAGCAGTTCAATGTTATGGTTGGCTATATGAAGAAAGAACTAGTCAGCGTAACTAACAGCACAGGTGAGAAGTTTGGAAATAGTCATTCAAGCAAGCTCCTTTATTTCAAAATCTGGGGCATTCAATATTACGCATTAAGGAAGTCTTCTGGGTGGGCTTGGTAAATCCATCATTTATGCATGCATTTCTCATGTAACACACAAGAGTCCTAGGACCTGGGTACCATGGGCCTCCAGACGAGGATGCTGGGAATCAAGTCCTCCAGAAAACGGCCCCGGTCACCGGGCAAGCAACTGGCAGCATCAGGATCCCAGCTCAGGCCAGCTCAAAGCCACAGAGCCGAGCCTTCACTACATTATGCTACAGGTAAAAGGAAGAGTTCAGCCCTTAAAGTAGCTCTTTTGATAATTATCTTGCAATCTATCCTGAATAACTTTTCTGTGCAAGACTCGCCAGCTCATAAAACTGATAAGAGTTCTACAGCCCACTAACAAATAAACAAAAGGCTTGTCACTTACACAAGTGTATCTCACCAGATGTATCTGCCTGAAAATCTAAAATGTCAGCAGAGAATCTCTCACCTTACACATGCTTAATTTATTTAAAAAAAAAAACAAAACAAAATTCGCCCAGCCGGTGTGGCTGGTGGTTGAGCATTGAATAAACCAAAAGGTCACTGGTTCCATTTCGGGTCGGGGCACATCCCCAGTAGGGAAAGTGCGAGAGGCAGCCAATTGCTGTTTCTGTCTGTCCCTCTCCCTTCCTCGCTAAAAATCAATAAAGACATATTTTAAAAAACAAAAAACAAATTCAAGTGAAAAGTCTACTGCCTGATCCAAAAGAAGTTCACTGTAAAGATGTTTACAGGAAGGCACATTTCCGAGTTAGATGAAAACTGAAAAAGGACAGCCACGCTCCCAAGAGCAAGAACACTTAGCAACAGATATCGACCTTCCGTCTATAGCTCAGAAACACCCATGGGCGACTGGTTCATTGGTTTAGGCAACTCTAGGGCATTTTTTTTTTTTTTAAATTTCAGAGTGGTAATGAAATTGTGGAAAGCTTTAAGACACTCGTGGGAGCAGGCGGGGATGGGGGAGGGGGGCCTCCATCTCCTTGCCAAAACCATCCCACGAAGGTTTTCCTGCGTGTGCGGCAGCTGCCCCAGGTTCGGGGAAGGCCCGCGGGCACAGCCTCCAAGAGCAGCTGCACCGCGAGCGGGAAGGGGCACCGCACGCCAGCGAGCGCGGCAACCCTGCCAGGCGCAGGGGC